GAGGGACTAGAAGAAAAGCAAGAATCCTGTGTCCGAGGTGTAGATCAGTGTTGTGTTGGTAAATGGATTTGGTCAAATAGTTGGGGACGTGGTAAAATAAAGACAGTGCCTTTTGCTGCAATTCTAAATATAATGGAAAAGGCAAGGAAAATCAGGAGAGTTGCTATAAAGGCAGTTTGGGGTGAAACATAGAGGGGAACATTTATTATATTCTAACTGGGAGGGTGTGTGCTGGCGGAGTGGGAAAGTGAAGTTTATTAGTTTATTATTATTAGTGAAGCCTCTTGCCTCAGGTATTGCCTACTGTTACAAAACACTCTTCTTTTTGATACAGGAGTTTCAGAAGCAGCTTACTAAAGCTAAGAGAATAATGATCATAGGGAATGGTGGCATTGCACTTGAATTAGTGTAAGTATATATTTTTAAATATTATTTAAGACTTTCTCTGTGATTCGTGTGATTATTGACAGACTAGAAAATAATCTTGTTATCCGAAAAATCAAAGATAAATATAGTTGTTTGTCACACATTTTCAAGAAAAAAATCTTTATTTTTTTAGCTTTCATGGAATTCATAGTTGTGAAAGTGTCCTTTTAAGACACAGGAGTTTAGGGGATGCTGTAAGTCTCAAAGGGCCCAGCACTGGTGACTGGCTGGACTTGACCCATTCGTATAAAGCATGTACTACATAGAAAATGAATTTGAATGTGTACACCTGTTGAGATTTCTAGTCATAGTCCCCACTACTTTTTATTGCTTATACCCGCTGTGCTTCACTCATTCACATTGCCTGTCTGGCCCATGAAACCAAAAATGTTTGTGAGTTCTGTTTCAGAATGTGTAGTACTCCCGGCTCCTGGTTTTTGGAAGTTTGGGGAATGTGAGCACCTTAATAGGCAATATTATCATCTTAAAATGATATTTCAAGTCTGAAAAATACCGAGGAGTGTCCTGCTGTGGAAGGCAGGGCATTGATTCGCTTTCTTTGTGATTTTAGCTTTCAGCAGATGGCT